AGAAACGGGGTTTTACCATGTTAGCCAGGCTGGTCTCAAACTCCTGACCTCAAGTGATCCACCAGCCTCGGCCTCCCAAAATGTTGGGCTTACAGGTGTGAGCCACTGCGCCCAGCCTTTTCTCCCTTTCATACCTAGTCCCACAGAAGATTTTACAATTCTCTCTTTTCATACCCACTATTACTACCACCCTTCTACAGACTCATAATCCCTTATTGTGTCCCTTTCACTTATCCCCTTTTGATCATTCTAAACACTTCACCATTTCTGAATAGGCCTTGCCCCTTCAGTTGATTGCCCATTTCACATTGTTGCTCCTTCTGTATGAAACGCCTTTCACTGTTTGTCAGGTAGTAAATTCTCCCATCCTCTGAGCTCCAGCTCCATGTCACCAGTCCAGGGAGCTTTTCCTACCCTACCTTTAGGTTATTCATTTCTTCCTTGTGCTCTCATCATGCTTGGCACATACCTCTCCCTCCCTAGACTCTGAGCCCTTGGAGGACAGGAACTGTGCTCTGTCGCCCAAGCCGGAGTGCAGTGGCATGATCTCAGCTTGCTGCAACCTCTGCCTCCGGGTTCAGGTGATTTTCCTGCTTCAGCCTCCCAAGTAACTGGGACTACAGGCATGCACCAGCACACCCAGCTAATTTTTATATTTTTTAGTAGAGACGAGGTTTCACCATGTCGGCCAGGCTGGTCTCGAACTCCTGACCTCAAGTTATCTGCCTGCCTCGGCCTCCCAAAGTGCTGGAATTACAGGCATGAGCCACTGTGCCTGGCCTGGAACTGTGTCTTATTCATCTTTATGCTCCTTGCCTCCAGCCTAGTGCCTGGCTTGTGGTAGGCCTTGATAAATGTTTGCAGAATACATGCATGCGTGAATGAATGAATGAATGAATGAATGAATGGCTTTGTATTCATCTTCAGGCCATCTTTGTGTATAACAATGACCCATTGGGGGCTGTCTTTGGAGGCCAGAACTAGGCATTGGAAAATCATCAGGTTTCTCCATTTGTGAATCATAACAGATCCACTAAAACCACTTTTTTTTTTTTTTT